ATGTTGCCAGAGAGAGAGCTGAGATTGCCTCATACTTATTTAATTTCTTCATTTAAAATGGTTATTTCAAGATGTGGCATTCATTTCTCCCTGTCTAATGGCAATGACACGGTGCCTTGGTTCCTTTCTGTGGCTACTTGCCTGCTACCAGTTGTGGGTGATGGCCCTGTAGTGGAAGTTAATTTGTTTTTTATAAGCTGTCCAGTCACTTAATTAAATCTTGCCTTCTATTAACTGCTTCCCCTTCCCATCTCTACCCTCCATCCCATACTTGAAGAGGGGGAAGGAGAGTTGAAGCAGATAAGTGTGTTGATGGCTTAGCAGTTTAAATGTGGGCTACTTTTAATAAGCCTACGACTTGCTGATGCAACCCAAGGACCACTGGGCCCTTCCATATGTACTGCTGTTGCATTGTTAGGACTTCTGGGACTTCCCATCCTCACTGCAGCTGAACTTTGTTTTATATGTTGTCTCTCTCAATCAACTCAACTTCCTTGAGAGCAGAGATTGTTTCCCTTTTTCCAGTTCTATTCCTAGCATTTAGCATAGTTCTTGGTATGTAATAAATACCTAATTAGTTCATTTTGATTCATTCAGTTGAGCTATAAATTTGTAATGAGTGAAATCCACTCAGTTTTGTGACTTTATCCATTCATACTCAGCAACTCTGGAGCAAGAGTTGAGAAATCATTGAGATGTTATAGGATGAGGATTTGAAGTTTGGGAACAACATAAGGTTGGGCAGCAGGGAATTTGAGGTTAGTAACTAGGGAGAAATTGAAGAAAAAACTGTGGAGTCAAGGAGGCAAAGTAGAATGGAGGAAAGCGAAGCCAAAGTTGGGGACAAATCCTGAGAAAATTGGGATGGCAGGTGAAGAGAAGATTAAGCATGAGTCTGAGAAGGCAGGCTAAAATGGTGTGATCAGAGTAGAAGGTTAGTGTTCTAATTGTTGAAGAGGGGTGTAATTCAGAGAGCTAGGGAGGTCTAAGGTGAGGCCATTTTGGTATATGGCAAAAGGGAAGTAGGGAAGGTCATTAGATTTGAGGAGGGTTGAAATATCACGTGGTCAGTTTGTCTACATGAATATAATTTCCTGAGGATAATGGCAGGAGGTAGAATGGAAAAGTTTGTGAGCAAGAGATGCTAAAGTCATAGAAAAAATTAGAGGAATGACCTAGAGTTACTAGATTTTAGCAACAGAGATGTGGAGAAGGTGATGCAAGCACAGGGCATGGACTGTCATTTGGGAAAAGTCATTTTGGGAGGGTAGAGTACTGTAATGTAAGAAGTGGCAACAGAGGAACAAAGAATAACCTTCCTCCTGGCCCTATGGGTTGAGGGAAGTAGGAGAAGTAACTACTCATGGACTATATAGCCCAAGGGTTATATAAAAGATGTGGCATTCTCATAAGTGTCAAGTTCCCATTAAAGTGAAGAAGGGAAAGGACAGATTGTTGAAAAGTTTAAGAATAAGGAAAAGTTTGCTGACAGATTAGGGGTAGCAGAAGGTACAGTAGGGTGGGCTAGGTGATGGGTAAAAGAGGATAGAGTATGTCTGGGCACAGACACTGCTCACATTTAAGGCAGTGAAATTAGATCATAGAGCCTGCAAAGCCAATACAATATAAGGAGATTAGCTCCAGTGCTAAGATTTTTAAGACCAGTTGTCTAGTCAATTGTTAAATTAAATATTCATTATGTATCAGGCATGGGATAAGTGCTGAGTGTACTAAGAAATGAAAAACAATGGCCTGCCTTCAAGGAACTTATATTCTATTGGTGGAGACAATATGTGAGTGAACAGGTACATACATATCTAAACAGCTGCCACGTCTTGTAGTTTCTATATTTATAATCTCTCTCAGATTCAACCCCTTCTTCCCACTTAACCACCATGTTAATGCAGTCACTTAGCACCTCTTACCTAAATTATTTCAGCACCTTACCTCAAGTCTCTCCCTACTCCAGTCCATCTTACACACTACTGTAAAGAAAATTTTCCTTAAGTGCAGATCTGACCAGGTGAGTTTTCCACTCAATGAACTTGAGTGGCTTCCTATTGCTCCTAGGATTAAATATAAACTTTACTGATTAGTTTTTAAAGCCCTATATAGATTCGCCCCAACTTGTCTTCCCAGGCTCATTGGACATTACTCCCTGTCCTGCACTCTGAGATCTAACCAAACTGACCTTCTCTTTGTTCCACACACATGACATTGGATTTCTTGACTTCATGCCATTGTATTGGCTGTCCATCATTCCTGGAATGGACTCCCTCTTCTGCCTTTTAGAGCCTCTTCTTTTAAGATGCAGCTCAGGGGCCATCTTCTGCGTGAGGGAATTAAAATAACAAGTGGTGGTAGGAATTGAATGAACCACATTGACTCCATTTTGTGACTCGGTTCTGGGTCTAGTTTAGTTCCTTTTCTATTCAGTTACGGGTCTTGTCCATTTTCTGTCTTGTGAGAAAACTTTATTCCATTCAATCAAAACTTTATTGCATTGTTTGAACTACCCCAGCATGGATGGGAAATTGAACCACCTCTCCCTGCTTCTTAGAGACCCTAAACTAAGAATCTAGGTTATGCCAACCAGAAACCCAGTCAGATTTGAAGATTGATGCAAGTTTTCTCACAATTGTACGTCTCAAGCAACCCATATGTTTTATCTGAAAATTAGCCACTTAATGGTCAATCAGTTATTTTTTTCATGCTCCTTCGATTGAATACAAACACTTTGGGGGAGGTGTGGGAATCTCTTTTTCTGATTTCAGAGAATTATGCCTGTTTGCTCTTCCCATCTCAACTTGGAAAGTCTCTAATCTGTCCTCCACTAGGAAATCAGATTATCTAATTTTATATCTTTAGTTTTGTACCCTCTTAATTGTTTTCTTTTAATGAATTGGTTTTATTTCATCGTCTTCCCCTGTATTTGGTGTCCAGTGCCAAAGCTGAGGAGGCCTGGTCCTGATTTGTTATGCATTTTCATGTGTTGTTCAATAAATACATGTGCTTGAAAGCTCGAATTTTTGTTTCCTCAGTTACTTCATCTTTCACCCACCACAATATAATCATGTGATTTCTGTTGTTATTGCTATTAATATGGTCAATTATGCTGATAGTTTTCCTAATATTGAACCAGTCCTGCATTTCTGGTATAAATCTCACCTGGTCAATGATCTTTGTGATATATTGCTGTAATCTGCTTGCTAGTATTTTATTTAAAGATTTTTTCCATCAATATTCATTAAGGAAATTGGCCTATAGTTTTCTTTCTCTATTTTTTTGCTCTCCCAGGTTTAGGTATGAAAATAATATTTGTGTCATAAAAGGAATTTGGTAGGACTCCTTCTTTACCTACTTAAAAATAGTTTATATATTATTGAGATTGTTCCTTATATTTTTGGTAGAATTCACTTGTAAATCCTTCTGGTCCTAGGGATTTTTTCTTAGGGAACTCATTGATAGCTTGCTCAATTTCTTTTTCTATGATAAGGTTATTTAAGTATTCTATTATTTCTTCTGTTAATCTGGGCAGTTTATATTTTTGTAAATATTCACCCATTTCACTTAGACTATCAGTTTTACTGGCATATAATTGGGCAAAATAACTCCTAATAATTGGCTCAATTTCATTTTCATTGGTGTTGCATTCACCGCTTTCACTTTTAATACTAGTATTTGGTTTTCTTGTTTCTTTTTTTAATCAAATTAACCAATGGTTGATCTATTTTATTATTTTTTTTCATAAACCCAGTCCCAGTTTTATTTATTAGTTTATTTTTTTTTTACTTTCAATTCTACTAATCTCTTCTTTGATTTTAAGGATTTCAATTTTGGTGTTTGGGATTTTAAATTTGTTATTTTTCTAGTTCTTTTTCTAGTTTTTTAAATTGCGTGCCCAGTTCATTGATCTGCTCTTTTTCTCTTTTATTGAGGTAAGCATTTAGAGATGTAAAATTTCCTCTAAGTACTGCTTTGGCTATATCCCATAAATTTTGGAAAGTTGCCTCATTGTTGTCATTCTTTGTGATGAAATTACTGATTATTTCTATGATTTGTCCTTTGACCTATTCATTCTTTAGGATTAGATTATTTAGCTGCCAATTAACTTTGAATCTGTGCTTCCGTAGCCCATTAGTAAAGGTATTTTTTTATTGCATTATGATATGAAAAGGGTGCATTTAATATTTCTACTTTTCTGCATTTGGTTATAAGGTTTTTATTGCCTTAATATATGGTTAATTTTTGTGAAGGTACCACACACAGCTGAGAAAAAGGTTTATTCATTTTTATTCCCATTTTTTTTTCTCTAGAGGTCTATCATCGCTAACTTTCCTAAGATTCTATTCATGTCTTTTTTCATATTTATTTTATGGTTAGATTTATCCAGCTCTGAGAGGGGAAGGTTGAGGTCCTCCACTAGTAGAGTGTGACTGTCTATTTCCTCCTGTAATTCATTTAACTTTTCCTTTAAGAATTTGGATACTATACCATTTGGTGCATATGTGTTTAGTATTGATATTACTTGTTTATGGTTCCTTTTAGCAAGATGTAGTTTCCTGCTTATCCCTCTTAATTAAATCTATTTTTGGTTTTTGATTTGTCTGAGATCATGATTGCTACTTCTGCCTTTTTTTCCCCTTCAGCTGCAGCATAATAGATTCTGCTCCAACTCCTTATTTTAGAGAGAGAAGAGGGTGCTCACAATAGAACCTTGAGATACTCATATGTTTAGTGGGCATAATTTGCAAAGAAGTCTGAGAAGGAGCAGTCAGATAAGAGGAGAATGAGGAGAGGACAATGTCATGAAGAGACTATCAAAGAGAGTGACACCAGAGTGTCTAAGGTATAGAAAGGTCAAAAAGGATTTTGAGAAAAGTCTATTAGATTTGACAATGAAGAGATTATTGGCAACTTTGGGGAGAACTGTTTCACTTGAATGATAAAGTTGGAAGATAGATTGCAGGGAGTTAAGAAGAGAGTGAGAGGAAAGGAAGTAGAAACATCTAGTGTAGATGGCCTTCTCAGGGAGTTGAGACACAAAAAGGGGAGAAATTGAGATAATAGCTAGTGGGAATGGATTGATCAGGGGAGAATTTTTTGAAGATGGATTGATACACAGGCATATTTGTAGGCAATAGTGATGTAGCCAATAGACGAAGAACAATTGAAGATTAGTGAGAGAGTAGGGATAATAAAGGGGTGTAATCTGCTTCAGAAAATGGGATAAAATGGGATCACTTGTGCATATAGATGAGTTTGCCTCTGCAAGGATGAGGGTCACCTCTTCATGTGACCTCATCATGCAACATGGTCAGCAGATGGCATCTGAGTGATGTGAAATAAGAAACAGGAGAAGCATGACCTCTCTGAATTTACAGGTTTTTTTTTCCCAGCAAAATATGAGACAAGTTTCTCAGATGAGGGGGTTGAGGAGGGGAACTGTGTTCGGCTTGAGGAGGGACTAAAAGATTGGGAAAAGCTACTGTAGTGAGTGGAATAATGAATTGATGAGTGAAGTGTAAAAGGTTCCCCTTACTCCAGTGTGAACCAAGTTTCAGTTGTGTCTGCCTCTTCATGACCCCATTTGAGATTTTCTTGGCAAAGATACTAGAGTGGTTTGCCATTTCCTTCTCCAGATCCTTTTACAGATGGGGAAATTGAGGCAAACAGGATCAAGTGACTTGCCCAAGGTCACACAGCTACTAAGTGTCTGAGGCCAGATTTGAACTCAAGAAGATGAATCTTCCTGACCCCAGGTCTGTCACTCTATCCACCTTGCCACCTAGTTGCCCTTAAGAGTTTGTAATATAATATAAACTGGTAGTGGACCACATCAGCATGGTTTTTGAATTTTCTTTAGCTCCATTCAGCAGAAAGTAGAATTGAAGGTAGCAAAATGGGATGAATTCAAGGCTAGGGTTTGTCAGGGCAAGATCCTTGATAGGCTAAAAGGGCGAGGGTCTTAAGAGAAGAAGACAATGTAGAGTCAATCTGATTTATCAAAAGGTCAAAATGGGGAAGGGAGGAGAATACAGCCAGTGCGATAGGCCAGGAAAGAATTGAGTTGTTAAGGAACCAGAGGTCATGGTGAGGACAAAGAACAGGGTGCAGAGCTGCAAGGCAGAAGTAGAGGTGGAAGGGCGATAGATTTTGATCAGATATAGGAACTGCAGAGTTCACGAACCCTAGTGGATGAAAGTAAGGTCAAGGATAGGAGTGGCTCTTTGTTTGATTGTTATCTATGAAGCCTTGAGTTTTGCTTTTGTTAAAGTCCTCTCTCCATTGATGTAAACAGTGGAGATTTTCTGGTGTCCTGCTACTTTCCAGAGACACCAGACAGGACACTCAGCAGAAGAGTACATGACACCTACTGTTGTGACTAAAAGGCCTCTTCCTCATCCTAACAGGATGAACACCCATATTATTTACACCTTGTACAATGATGAACATACTTCCTGTAAACAATAGTTATCACTGCTGTTATGGTTTTAATAATAGATAGCAATGAAATCAAGATCTGAGAGACTGGATTCATTTCTTGGTTTCTTGGATTCATTTCTTGGTTTCTTGGACACAACATTGGGTTGGGGTGGAATGGAAAAGCCACTGTCTCTCAAAGAAATTGTAATAAGAGTTCACGTTTATATACTGCTTTATAGTAATAAACGCTTTACATGTATCATTTCATTTGATCCTCATGGTATTGTCTTTTTTTTTTCCCCCTTAGGTAATCGGGGTTAAGTGACTTGCCCAGGGTCACACAGCTAGTGAGTGTCAAGAGTCTGAGGTCAAATTTGAACTCAGGTCCTCCTGACTCCAAGGCCAGAGCTCTATCCACTAGACCACCTAGATGCCCCAAGTCTTATTTTTTTTTTAATGGTATCAAGTCTTATGACACTCATTTTTATATGAGGTAACATGAATTGCCCCATTTCATACATCTGCATCTCAGGCTGAAACTCAGGTCTTTTGATTCCAATTTTGGGGGAGTAGCATAGCAGGTCAAGTGCTGGACTTGGAATCAAGAAGACCTGGGTTGAAATCCTGCCTAAGACATGTATAAGCTATATGACCCTAGGTAAGTCTCCTATATTCCCTTATTCACAGTTTCCTCATCCATAAAATGGGGATAATAGCACCTACCCCTACAGAATTGTTCAGAACAAGTAAGATAAAGTATATAAAATGCTATGGAAATCTTAAAACCCCATATAGCTGTTTGCTATTATTATTAATATAATATGATGAGTCAAACATGCCTTTAAGCCCCCTTTCTTTGTGCAAACAAGTTAAAAATATGCTATCACTTCAGGATGAACTGTGACACTGTAGACAATATCTCTGACACTTTTGTAGGGTGCTACATAGGATTATAAATAGGAAGTAGTAGATCTATGTCTCCTTGTGTTGGATAAACGTGGTTGAGAGACATCCAAAAAAGCTCAGGGTAGGGGGATAGGGAGGGTTTTCTTATATTTCTGAGGATGTAACTGTTATTTTTGGTCACAGAAATGGATTGAGTGGAATGACCTTTAGCAGTGGATGACAATGATGTGGTAGAAGGGGGACAGTTTTCCACTTGACCTTTCTACAGCATGCCAGCTTTGGCTCTTACTACAAAATGAGCTGAATCGACAGACTCGATAGAACGCTAACCTGACAGAAGTGTATTGTTTGGAAGTAGATAGGCCTTGAAATATGCCCCCTCCAGCTATAAAACATGAGGACTTTCCATGTAACCATCAGGCCTTGAGTACCCAAGTCACAGCAGGAAACTTTATTATAATTAGCTCCTCTGGGATTTTCATCTTAAATAAAATTGGCTCTGTAATGAAATCTCCTTGCCTGGAGATTTCTTCAGCTCCTCCAAGAGCGTGAGATTTTCTTGGGACTTTTCTTCCTTTGATTGTTTGCTTTCTTTATTTGGTGCTCTCTTTTCCTTGTCTTATAGTTTCCTCTCCTATCCCCTGCTCCTTACTATTTTCTCCTTTCCTTAAACTTTTGTCCGTCCTCTGGCACTTCTTGCCACCTAGTGATTTTCCTCAACCTTTGGGCCACAGATAGTTAAGTTAGTCTAGAGCAGGGGTTCCTGATTTTGTGTGTGTATCTTGGATCCCTGTGGCAGTCCGGTGAAGTCTGTCGATCTCTTCTCAGAATAGTATTTGTAGATGAAAAAAAAGACATAAGACTACACAGGAGACTAATTATGTTGAAAGAGAGTTATTGAAAGGTTTTTTTTTTAAAGCAAGTTCACAGACCCCAGGTTAAGAATCTCTGGTCTAGGGGAATTGTGGGATATATGATAAAAGTGCAACTAAACAATTATTTAGTTCTTTTCTGGAGACACAGGATTATGGCAACTTGCTGCACCCGTAGTCCTAAAGCAGAATCTGCTTTGGCTCTAGCTTACCCTTGAAATGCCAAATCCATGCCTGAGTGGGTTGTGTCTATACCAGAGGAAAAGACAATGTAGTATAGTAATTTGGAATCAGGAAGATGTGGATTCAAATTTTACCTTTAACATTTATTATTTGTGTGTTCATGGGTAAGTCATTTAACTTGTCTGGTCCTCAGTTTCAACATAAATAAGATGGGTATTTTAATACTTTTAGTATGTCCCTTACAAGATCTTTGTGGCAAGGTTCATATGACACGATGTGTGGAAAGGGCTTTACAAACCTTAAAGTACTGTATAAATGTCAGCTATTATTATCAGGGAAAAATCATGGCCTGAGAATCATAAGACCTGGGCTCTCATTCTAGCTCAGGTGCCAAATTATTGTTTGTGACCTTAGGAAAGCCACTTAAATATTTTGAGTCTCAGTTCGTTTATCTATTAAATGAAGCAAATAGTAATAATCACCTACATATTTATATAACACATTTAGAATCACATCTTTAGCAAAAGAGACCTTAGAGGTCTCAGTTCTTTCATTTCACAGATGAGGAAACAGGCCTAGAGAAGTTAAAGAGCTTTCCCACAGTCACGCGAACATAAGTGGCAGACGGTGGGCTAGATTCCAGTTCCTCTGACGCCAAATCCAGTGTTCTTGCCCATTAACACCAGACAGTCTTTGCTGTCATTCAGTCATTTTTCAATTGTGTTCGACTCTGTGACCCCATTTGGGATTTTCTTGGCAAAGATATAAGGGTGATTTGCCATTTCATTCTCTGGCTCATTTTACAGGTGAGGAAACTGAGGCAAACAGGGTTAAATGACTTGTCCAGGGTCACACAACTACACCTGCAGTGCCTACTTAATAGAGATACTGTGAAAATCAAATGCCATAGACTTCACATATATAATCAATATCAAATTGCTTGTCTTCTCAAGGAGGAGGGGAGGGAGAGGGAAAGAATTTGGAATACAAAATTTGAAAAAAAAGACTTAAAATTTTTTTACATATAATTGGGAAATATTTGATGAAATAAAGAAAAATAACTTTAAAAAAATCTAATGCTATAATATCTTCTGGGCAAATCACTACCTCTCTGGGCCTCAGTTTCCTCCTTTGTAAAATGAAAAGAAGCAGACCTCTGAGGTATCTTCCACCTCATACTTTGATCCTATGATTATCTGTCTGTAAAATGAGGGGAGCTGAACTATAATACCTCAAAGGCCTCTTCTCCTAAAACATCTTCTGTAAAAAGTGCTTTGAAAAAGTTGAAAGTGCTGAAGAAATATAAGATATATTAATATAGGTGCCAAGCTTGAGGATTTGACCTACTTTCCTATAGCAAAGCACTAAAATGAACATTTTTACACATTTCTGCAGAATATAATGTTTTCAAAAAGTTTTAAAATAATCATCAATTTACTTGCAAATGACAGTAACTTGGTATACATAAATGCAGTGAGGCGGAGTCTAAATGAAGCACATTTTTCTATTCCTTAAGATTTGCTTAAGAGCATTCCTCACAACAACAGTTCTGTGAAGGGGAGCAGCATATATATTTGTTATGGTGATTGTCTTATGGTATAAGTATTGTTAGATTGTAGTAGACAGA